GGGGAGCGGGGCATCTTCAAATAAGTTTCCTTCGATTGTTTGTAAACTGCTGATGCAGTCCGGCCAAATTACCCCTAAAAGTGTTGTGATACGCATTTGATCATATCTACATGTTAATTTGCGCAATATAGATATTAAATTATTATTATTAGTAGAATCTGCCGTTCTCTGCGCTTTTTATTTTCCTGGGGTAGACTTCTAATGAGTTCATAGTTGATGTAAGTTAGTATGAAAACCTTTCTCTCCCAGGAAAAACAGCGAATTGGTATTTTGGATGTGGCTGCTTCCATAAAAGATACGTCAAAACACAGTCAGGGATATGAAGAAGCAGAATCTCCAATCAACCCGAGAACTTTAACCAAGGCCACAACGCCTCTTGTTACAATTAAAAAATTCTTTAAACCCAAGCCTTCAGGGGAAAGTTCGAAGGTCACAGGAAACCCAACAGGATCGGTTGAAGAGACGGGTCTTGATAAAGGTCGTCATGGAGGAGAATGTAATGCACATTTTATAAAGGAGGAGATCACAAATAGTCCGTGTATATCGAATTCAAGTACATGTAACAAACAGGAAGTGTCTGCTGATAGAATAAAAGAAGTAAAATCAGTATACTTTAGTTCAAAGGAGTCAAAAAGAGACGGGCTCTCAGAGAGTGGGACTTCCGATTCTGATCCCGGTAGAAGTACAAACGTTACGCACCATATTTCCGAGCCCATCTCAAAGGAGAACGTACAACTTAAGACGTCCGTGAAAAGAACTAACTCTGAGGCAACGTCACGAACAAATAAACGACAAAAACAGTCAAGTATTTTATCATCGTTTGGGAAGGGGACAATTAAACCAGCGGAAAAGGCCAAGAAAAAGGAGATTTGTTGTCCCATTTGTGGCGTAAAGTTTGGGAAAGAAGTAAAAAATGCTGAGATAAATGAACACATCGATGGTTGCCTTGTTACGTAATATATTTTTATGTCACGTGATTCTCAAGCTGAGGAAATTTGGCAAACGTGTCATCAGTCGAAGGACCAGGAAAGAACATAATAAATTCCATTTCGAACTGATTTGCCTACGTGTCTGATACTTATGTTATTTTAGTTTAGTGCCGTATGTACCTTGTCACTCAGATTAAAAGGTCGATACATTAAATCCAGTTGAAGTCCTGGAGTACGCCTCACGAAGGTAAATGAATTTTATTAAGGAAAGTTCCCGCGCTGCACTTGATACTGGAAATTGATTGGCTAAGGCGAGTACGTCAATGGTTTATAACAAACTGCACGATATTTACGCGCTTATCAGCCCGCTTGGGGGGAGGGGGGTGGTTATTCAGTTATCTGGCGGTATATTCTTTCTGTTAAATATGCACCTGTGCGGTCGTATTTTCTCTGAATTTTAGTTTATTTGTTTTTTGATGCGAGTCACCAACTCAGACAATGTAGCTATTTGATGGAAGAATTCTATAATTTCAAGGTTTAAGAAGAGGAGTATCTCAATTACCTCCTGCCTCCACCCCCCTTCTCCTGTTTTTCCGTCACTGGACCTGACCAGTGACTTTGCATCCTCTTCCCATCATTTTTGATCCGTGACTGGTAGTTTTAGCTAAATATAACACCTTGGGTTGTATTTATCTCTGTAGCTCTGTGTAGTGCTACGTGTCTGCAGCGACAAAATAACGTACGGCGTATTGGTATTCGTGAGGTGTCTGTTTTAATTAAGAAGGTGTGCTTTTCAGTATTTACAAAGTAAAAGCCCTTATTAATGAAGGTCCCTTTCTTCAATAGTAGTTGTTTCTATGGAGAAATGTTGCCAAACATTTGAAGGCAACAACTGGACATGAAAAACGTACTAGCCAAGTCACAACAGTACAGTTATCACAACAAATCTCTGATATTCTAAACTAAAGAATCCGCCACACCCAAATAACTTGTTATTCATTAAACTGTTTAAACTTGGTATTCTAAAGTAAGGAATCTCACACGGAAAACTTTAGTGCATCAAACTGTGAAAACTTGGTCTTTATCAGTTAAGAATCACAACAGAAAAACTCATTGAGTACTAAACTGAAAAAACTGAGCCATCAGTAAACGACATCCCTTAAAGAAATATAAGTCTGGCAAAACAAGGACGGGGTGTTACGCTGTAGTTAAATCCGATTAAAATTACACAAAGTACTATTCAGTTCAGTTGTCAAGTACGCACCACAGGATATATAGCTCAGTCCCAAGTGCAGATCACTTCAGAGGAGATGATTGCTTTAGGAATCCCAAATACGACTCAGTCAGTACTACATGTAGGCTTCGGAACAGTTGGTCGCAATGCCACCCGTCAACATAAAAAGAATGAAACATATAGTTCATATAAATCTCAGAAAGGTCAATGAACTACTGGGTATTGTGGAAGAACGGAGGGATAAATCAACAAAAATCTGAAAGAGAAAGAAATTGAGGTAAATTAGGAAATACAGGGTTTATTATTTACATCTCATTGAATGACAATAGTGTCTATGGCGTTGTTCCTTTCTCCTCAAAGAGTGCCGACAATTTGGACTTAAGGTGTCGTGATTGACGACATCAGTGATCTGATCTGCATGCTTCGCCCTGTAACTCCCAAGATCTCATTAATAATTCTCCTGACAGTCTTCCATATAGTTTTTATAATGTAAGTTAAGAGAATTTGGTATTGGATCAACTAATTATCCCCTAATTTATATTTTCCTTTATTCTTATCGCTTGCTTTTTTGAATTTGTACATATATTGTAAGAAGAAATTCTGTATTGGTCATTCAGATGAGCTAGTTCAATGGTTAAGAGGCATTACTGTGGAGGTAGAAATGTTCACGTGAGAAAATAAGCACAACTTACCTAAAAAGCACAATGTAATCTTTGTTTGCCAGAGGGTGCATTTTTTTAACATCTATTTAAACACACTCGCGTTATCAACTTTACTAACAGCACTTAAATCAGCTACAATATCAACGTTCTAGCTTTATTTGCAAAACTAATATTACTCACGAAACTAACAGTACTGAATGGCAACTATTCTTGCTTACAATGATTGTATATTCATGGTCCTTTATAATCTTTTATGTATAGAATCACTTTCTTCTGAATGTCGAAAATAACCCAGGATTGATTTGGATTTGCTTTACTTCGCTCCTTAGTTGGTTCAGATTACTCGCCCCACTCTCCCAACAAATCAGTAGGCCATTTTACAGTTTTGTGCCTAGTTACCAAGCCTTTGATTTGGAGCGAGGCTGAAGGAAATCTTGTTGTGATAGATGTTTGATAAAAAAGTGATTTATATTTGACAAGAACAGGAACATTTTGCAACAAGGTCACCCTCAGCCTCACTCCGCATCCCAGTTAGTGGGCTGTAAGCCCAAGGTCTCGAAATAATTGAGGAGAATTTGTTACCTTTCTCGAACATCAAGAAATGGTTAGCTATTCTAGTCTTCTCCGATAAGGACGAATAAATGGAGGTCCCGTCTCCTGCAGGGTTGGGGTAGGAGACGTTGAATTCCCACGCACGAGATTACTGTGTGATGGATGTCCTCCCCTGGCGTGGGATGGGTAAGTTCAAAAGGGGTTAGGTTTCAATTGGGACGAAAGTTCTGTTCCTTTCTCGAATGAATTAAATTCAAATAAATTCAAGTAAAATTCAATTAAATCCTGTTCAAAGGCTTGGCGACCAAGCACCCAATTGTAAAATGGACTATTTCAAACCTCACACCCATCGCGCGTTTTCTCGCACCTCAGGCAGTTGACTCGTTTTTATTCTACCTTCTCTTTGAATCCTTGTGATATTTCCTTCTTCTGACTGGCTGTTAAGATAACTTTGGTTTTGATTTTAACGGCACTCAATTGAAGAGCGCTCTGCACTTTAATCACGGTATGATATATTTTTACATCTTACATATTGATGACATATTTTCCACAACATTAGGGGCAAAACATCACCCGCAAGTCACCAGTACAATTCTCTGGCAACGTAATGAAATCAGACAAAAAAAAGAGAAACAGTAACACAGACAACAAAATAACACAAAACTTTCCTGATCAAATAAGAAAAGTTAACTTAACTAGTTCTAAAGAAAAAAAAAAGTGATATTTTTCGAGTTTACTAAGAAATCAATCTTAAAGATAGACACCGCTGAGTTTTTTCGTTGTGCGCGAGAACTTCTGATTCAGGGCCGATTTGTTCTCTATGCGACTAACGCCAACTCAGTTTTAAAAAAACCACGAGAACGCTTATGGTATTTAACCAAGTAATAGTGTTCGCACGATTATGGGTCAAGTGTCAAAATCTTTTTTAATTAATTACAAAGGCAAACCATAGCAAGGTTATGGACACAAGTACAAGTATTCATGAGAGAAGAAATCCGAAGTTTCAAATAGCCCCAAGACAACCTTGTCCAATCGTGAACGCGGGATGCCTTGGTTTTGCAAGTCACCCAGAATGCTTAAGTTATTTATCAAGTGCCACAGAAACGAGCGCAGTTTGAGCCATGGTTTACAGCGCTTAAGTGGTAAACATAGTAAGAACCACAGTTTCTAACTTGGATAATCTTCGATTTTACTTTACAGTTGTCGACTGAGCGGAAATAAACCGTTCTGGACACTCTGCCATCAGCTTTTGTAGGATGACCACCACTCAACCAGCCTGGTCTCTGGCCGCCACATCTTTTGAAGGTGACACACGAAGTGGGCATTTTTGTACCTGCGTATCCATTAAAACGGTACCACTTCTCATCCAGCTCATCGTCACATATGTACGGTGTACTTGACTTATAAGATTTGTTCCTTCGAGCAGAAGTTAAAGTCTTGTAGTTACTACATTCTGGGTACAAAAAAAAAAAAAAAGACAAACAGCTTAGAATGAAAGGGGATTGTGAAATTTGCTCGTCATTCTTGTACCAACGAAGTCATTAATTTACTTGCACTCCTACCCAGAGATTGTCGTACATATTTTCTTCCATAAAAACAATGGTAAGTCATAATAGAGACAACAACGATCCTTACAGATATCGAAAGGGGCCCTACAATAGTAAAAAAAAAAAAAGCTTTTTAAGCTGTTTGTGAGTTATTGATGCTGGACACTTGCACATTTTAACATTCGTACCCACCCTGAATTGCATGTACTCTTATACGAGCCTGCAGTACTTACTTTAACATTCGTACCCACCTTCAGGCTCGCAATTCAGTCCGTTCCCAATGTATTCTGAATTGCATGTACACTTATACGAGCCTGCAGTATTCTGACAAGTGGCGTCTTGATGGCAACGATGAGATCCTTCTGCACATTCGTTGATATCTAAGTAAGTAACAGAGATAAGTATTAAATATTACGGAAACTCACATGATTAGGGATAGGGGTAGAAAGGCTTCGACAGTGAAAGAAAAACAGCATATCCTCAAGGTTTGTTAGCTCATCGCAGATCCGCCAGTAGTGGCCAAAATCGTAAAAATAGCGACTAGTGGCCAAGATCGCAATTTGGCCACTAGTAGCAAAAATCGCAAATCGGCCACTAGTGGGCAATATCGCAAATCGGCCACTAATGCCCAGAATCGCAAATCGGCCACTAGTGACCAAAGTGGCAAATCGGCCTGTAGTGGCCAAAATGGCAAATCAGCTACTAATGGCCAAAATCACCAATTGACTGGCTACTAGCGGCCAAAATCGTAAATTGAACACTTGTGGCCAAAAATGCAATTCGGCCACTAGCGGCCAAAATTGTAAATCAGCCACTTGTGGCCAAGAACACAGATCAGTTACTAGTGGCCAAAATCATAATTTGGCCATTAGTGGCCAAAATCGAAAATCGGCCACTAGTGGCCAAAATCGCAAAACGGCCAGTGGTTGCCAAAATGGCAAACTGGCCACTAACGACCAAAATGGCAAATTGGCCACTAGCAGCCAGAATGGCAAATTGGCCACTAGTGGCCAAAATGGCAAATTGGCCACTAGCGACCAGAATGGCAGATCCGCCACCAGTGGCCAATGATGGTAAATCGGCCCCAGTGGCCAAAATGGCAAATCGGCCACTAGTGGCCAAAATGGCAAATCGGCTACTCGTGGCCAAAATGGCAAATCGACCACTAGTGGCCAAAATTGTAAATTGGCCACTTGTATTGTGGCTGAGAACACAAATCGCGTACTAGTGGCCAAATTCACAATTTGACCATCAGTGGCCAAAATGGCAAAACGGCCAGTAGTGGCCAAAATCGTAAATCGGCCACTACTGGCCAAAATCAGAAATTGGCCACTAGTGGTCAAAATCGCAAATTGGCCACTAGTGGCGAAAATCGTGAATCGGCCACTTATGGCCAAAATTAGAAATGGGCCTCTAGTGGCGGAAACCGCAAATTGGCCACTAGTGACCAAAATCGCAATTGGGCCATTATTGGCCAAAATGGCAAATCGACTGCTAGTGGCCAAAATCCTAAATAGGTTACTACCAAAATGGCAAAATGGCAATTCGCTTCCGAGCCTTTCCTTTTCAAGAATTAAATTTTATGTCTTCATTAGGTGATAGTGATGATGGTTTTCCCCACCACTGCAACTGCTTTTCCCGTCTCCTTGAAATCCTGGTTTGCAGCTACAGAAGTAGGAGCCCTCAGTGTTTTGGCATTTTGCGTTGCTATGGCAATCGTGAGTCCCCTCTACGCATTCATTGATATCTAGAAAGTCACTCAACAGAGAAAAAACGCAAGTGATATGCACAAAAAACCGTATTGAGATCTGGCAATGAGATTCTACTTTTTTCACAGTAGGGTAAAGTCCATCCTGATGAAGTACATGCACATGTGTAATTCACATGACTGTTTACGCACGCTGCGCTGTTCTGACACTTATGTTTGATGCAATAGTCAGCGACTAAATCAAGAAAAAACAACAAATTATCAACATTTTAAAAGATTCCAGGTATTTTCTGTCAATATTTGCCACCCACATATGAGAGAAGAAAGAGCTGATATCTTCCTACCCTCTGTTTTCATGTCACAGCGAGCCAACATGCTCTTTCCAGATCTGGTGGAATCCAACCAGTAATTTCCGCTGACCGCTTGTTCACCTTCATTTGCCTTGATCTCTCTACACGAATTACCTGGCAGCTCAGGAATGGAACCTAGTGGAACTGAGTTTGAACGAAATAGAAATTAACGTTTGGAAAAGCTGTTTTTGAGCCGGCGTTCCACGGGAAGATACGAAAACGAGAGGGCGTCGAGGCAATCAGTGACTATGGTTGAAACCTTTAGTTCGTGTTTGCACAAAAACGCATTCGCTTTAGCAGCAAATCAGTTGTAAGGAAAAATTTTGAGATTTCTATCCGTGCCCTCAGTACCCGTTTCGTTGGTTAATCTCAACAAGGAATGCAGAAATTACTTGACATTGGGACTTTGGAAGCCTGCGTAGGGAATTACTTGACATTGGGGCATGGAAGCCTGCGCAGCCCTGCGTAGGGAAAAGGATGCGCGAGTCCTCATTTTTCGTCTTTTTCGTTCATAATGCTTCGTTTCTTGGTCCTTTACCAGAACAATGAACAATTACGACTTTTCATGTTTCTTGTCTAACGCAAAATTTAGGTCCTGATTTTTTTTTTTTTTTATGAAAATGGATTTGTGTTCATCCGATTTTAAACAGAGTAACTTTCGATCGCGATCGTGCTTTTCATAGCTCTTTCACTTTTAGCTACTTCAAAGGACGACTGCAAATATCATGGATATCACTTAATTACCAGGTTTAGCGTAATCCAGTCCAGATGTTTCTGAGGTCACAAACTCGTTTCTCAAGAATAATTTTCGTTTCACTAGAGTTCCTACCTCTTGTAGAACTTTTCATGTAGTATCGTTCCAAGTCTTTAACAAAATCCTCCGGCCTGGCCTCCTTAGTTCTGTTGCTTAACTCACATATTCCTTTCACCATGACGTTATAACTTTGGCATCTGACATCAGCGAGACAGGCTTCTCTGCATTCTAGTGTACCTGGTTTGATTTTCAACGTCTTAAAGGTGTGGCCTTTAAGCATCATTTGATAGATTGAGTAAAGATCCGTTCCACACTGCTGGGCGGTAAGATGTCGGGGCACGAGAGACAACATTAGCAGCACTGTAATGTGGCTTTTGATTTGTTGTCGAGCCATTTATTGTAGATGCGATTTCTGATCTTAAAAAGAAGAAATAAACTGTCTAAAAGTATCATTTTCATTTTTCACCCCAATATTCTGTTAGTGTAACTTCTTAAGAACGAGCATGCGGGTGGAAGTATTTTCCAATTAATTTTTCCGTTAATTATCGTGCAAATTGAAGTTTGCAAGCACCACGTTAATTGTTAAATCACAGGCTGCCCAAGCGTGCTGTGTGTGATTTTGGAACTAGAGGTCATTTACGGGAGTACCTAACATATTAAGATCGAATTTTAAGCGTAAGCGCGGGCCATTAAAAAAATTTGAGAAAAATTAAAAAGGATAATAAAAGCGAGGAATATAACGTGTGAAGTGTTGAGGGGTTTTACCACTCGCTTGGCAAATTAACAAGAAGTACTGAGACTCTGTAATTTTCTTCTTTATTCTCCTATACTGCTGCTTCTACTTCAGCTAATATTCTCTCTCTTTTGTTCCACTGCTTATTTCTACTACTTTCAGAAAGGAGTGCTCCAGTATTAAATACAAAAATCACAGACATATGTTTGGGTTAGCTAACCGTGGGAACTTCCAAAACAGGATGTTCAGTGTAGGTAAAACTCAAGGTCAGTTTTACCAACTCAAACATGACCACCTAGCAAACTAGTTATCTTCAACCATAACAAGGGATTAAAATGTCTAGCACGGTAAGTGCTGAGCCAAGTTCAAGCACACACTAAAAATAAATGATCAAAACTATAGATTCATCAAAATAGCACGTAGGGGCGAAAAGGCGAGACTTAATAAAACAAAAAGGTAAACCTAAAAATGCTTGAAATATCGAGCCTTGAAAACGCTCTACAACAAAAGTACAAATCCCACAAAAATCGATCGATCTCCCTGAAATTTCCACCCGCGAGAGCGCTTTGCTATTACCTACTGGTAACGTTCGAGCGGCAAAACTTTCCAAATTCCTCTGCACCGATCTGAGAGACGCTTCGTTTTACCAACCGTTTTGGCGAAATCGCTTTGTAGTGACGAGTACTCCGTTTGGCCTTACTACGGGATACTAATATCGAAACGCTTCTGACCAAATAAATGACTCTCCAGGGAATCGATAGGAAGGTTGTCACCTTTGCCCCATTGCCAAACAACACCGTCCGAGGGGGCGTGCGTGTAATTCGAACGGATGCGCTTCGATATTTGAATCCCGCAGTAATGCCAAACAAATTACACGTCACTACAAAGCGATTTAGCCAGAATGGTTAGTAAAACGGAGCGAAATTTTCTTTCTTTTTATTTTTATGACTTTTCCTTTTTTTAAGGGCCTGCGCTTACGCTTAAAATTCGATCTTAATATGTTAGGTATTCCCGTCAATGACCTTCAATTAGTCCCAAAATCACACACAGCACGCTTGGGCCGCTTGTGGTTAAATGATCTTGGCGTTATTTTCCAATCTTCCATGATAAGTACGTCGAAGATAGGTAGCTTTCATTGAGGTCTTTCAACAGCTCTTCCGATGGAATATTAGCCACCTTTATGCTCTTCAATTTCCCTTAATTTCTTTGTTTGGGTTAGCCATGTTTGTCATGAGTCTTAATAAGGATCAGACTTATAGTAATTCCTTATAGTCATTGCTTATAGTAATTTATGCATGAGCCTTAAAATCACAGGATGAGGTCAAGGTGACTCAGCAATCAAACTGAAGAAATTAAACTTAAGAAAATTAAGCGAATTTTGGGGTTTTTTTGCAGCGAATTGAGCGACTTAAATGTGGGGATTTTGAAATTACAGTGGATTGAGAATGAGCAGAGAATTTTAACCCAGATTCCGAAATCCATACTCTCTGTTGTTTTATTTTGTTGTCAGTTTGTGTTTCGCTAAGGTGAGGATGAATCCTTTTCATTAAAATTGTTTATAAAAAGTTACTGTTTCTTAGCTAATGAACATGCAAATAAAAATGATAAAGAAGAAAGGGTAGAACATGGACTCTTTAGTAGGCTAAGCGATAACATTCATATACACCTGTCTGCTTCATTCGAATGATTACATTTAACCAAAATCATCACCGAGGGAAGGATTCGTGTTTCTTTCTCTCTTATGGGTGAGGTTTGTCTTTTGCGTGTTGCGAAAACAATTTGGTTTAACTTGAAATGTGACACTCAAAAATCTTTTCGAATGACGTGTCTGTGCCTCAGACACAACGACGTGAAAAGAGATTTGAAATCGAATGGACAATCTCGCTTTAACTTAGATCTTCTGGTAATAAACTTGTAAGCAATGCGAACTATAGACAGGTCGTGAATTATAATTTAAGTAGATAGAGACAAATAAAAAGACAGAACTTAGAATATAATCCCTAGTTCAATGACATGCGCCAACAGAGAGAGGAAATAATCAAAATTACAGAGTACAACTGCGGAGCGTAGTTTTTTTTTTTTTTTCTGCATTTAATAAGAAAACCTTTTTCTATCTCATAGTCACATGTTTTGAATGAAGCGTCATACAACTTACCTAGTAGAAATAAGAAATAGTTCCGCAAGCTCTTTTCAGGTGGAATTCTCCTCTTTATTTCAATAGTACCAAACTAAACTGAGGTTCATATAAACATTCACTGAACTACAAAACCTATTCAAAACTTTCTGAATAGCTCTTACCCCCCTGAGGACCTCCATATACCCCGGGGTGAGATGTTCGTGAGCACAGCAACTCTTGGCAGACCAAAAAAGCAAGGTCGATATATATGTCCCCGTTTTTCTCAAATCGTTTTACGTAACTACTATGAAGAGCAGATATTCTCGTAAATCAAGCCTGGCTTACCTGTAGTTCTCTAAAAGTGAAAGATAACCACATAGAATTTCATTCGTCATAAATACCCAGTGGGCGACATACTTGTGGCGAATTAATTATAAGCTGATTTAAATATGAAAAAGTTCGGAGTCTCCGTACATTTTGTAGAAAACTGTCGTGACTTCTGACACAATAAAGTCATCCTTTCTTGTAAGATGCAAAGAAATACAAATTTGTGTCCCCCATCCATACAGCGAAAAAAGAGTGACGAATATTTTCCCTTAAGTTTTCAAAATCTCTCATCCTCCTTTTTTTTACCTTCTTTGAATTCTGCAAACTTTCGGCCTGCATTATGTTTTATTTATTTTTTCATAAAGAATTAGTCCATGCTTAGTGTGCGTATATTGCAGTGTGATGCACGCGGAAAGTTTGGAGAGCACTAATGAAGCGTAAGAATCGCTCAAGACGCATCAGTTATGCGTAAGATTGATAACAGTATCAAGATTTAGCAAAACGATTTTAGATTCTACCTTTTTCAAAGTAGTTTCCAGTCCATCCCGATGAATCGCACGTGTACGTGTAATGCACGTGACCTTTTAAACAGGTTGCATTGTTCTGACACTAATGTTGGAAGCATTGGTCTGTAACTATTTCAAAAGATATAGCACATGACCTAGCACGCTTCCGTCTTATTCCTGTAAATGCTTGTCGGGTATAATTACGAAAATGGGGTATTGAAGCAAGAAAGCTGTCATTTGTTTCGGCTGACTAAATATACCATTTCAAATGATATAAAACGATATAGCAGGCGCCTTAGGAATTGACAGTCTTCCATATAGTTCTTATGATGTAACTAAGAGAATTTGGTATTGGATCAACCAATTATCCCCTAATTTATATTTTTCTTTATTCTTATCACTTACTTGCCTTCTTGAAATCGTACAGATATTGTAATGAGAAATTCTGTATTGGTCATTTATAGGAGTTCAATGGTTAAGAGGCATTGCTGTGGACGTAAAAAATTTTCACGAGGGGAAGAAAATAAACACAACCTAAAAAGCGCAAGGTAATCTTTGTTTGACAGAGTGTGCATTTTTTTGACATTTATTTAAACCCACTCACGTTATCAACTTTACTAACAGCACTTGTACCAGCTACAATATCAACGCTCTAACTTTACTTGCAAAACTAATATCACTCACGAAACTAATAATACTGAATGGCAACTATTCTTGCTTACAATGACTGTATTTTCATGGTCCTTTGTAATCTTTTGGGTATAGAGTCACTTTCTACCTGAATGTCGAAAATAAGCTAGGATCGATTTGGATTTGCTTTACTTCGCTCTTTGATAGGTCTAGATTACTCACCACACTTTCCCAACAAATCATTAGGCCATTTTACAGTATACTATATTATTTACATCTTGCAGATTGATGATATATTTGCCGTAACATTAGGAGCAAACCACCACCCACAAGTCACCAGTAAAATTCTCTGGCAACGTCAAAAGCATCACATGATACGTACAAGACTAACTTTACCGAACTAAGAGGGAAAATGTTTGACGTAATGAATGTAAAAAATGAGTAAAAAAATGAATATGTAAATATAAACCAATAAATCAGAAAAAAAAAAAAGAGAAACAGCAACACAGACAACAAAAAAACACAAAACTTTCATTATCATATAAGAAAAGTTAACCTAATTAGTTCTAAAGAAAAAAATGATATTTTTCGAGTTTTACTAAGAAATCAATCTTAAAGATAGACACCGCTGAACTTTTTCGTTGCGCACGAGGACATATCATTCTGGGCCGATTTGTTCTCTGTGCGACTAACACCAACTCAGTTAAAAAAAAAATAAAAAACGAGAACGCTTATGGTATTTAACCAAGTAATAGTGTTCGCACGATTATGGGTCAAGTGTCATAAAATATTTTTGAATTAATTACAAAGGCTAACCATAGCAAGGTTATAGACACAAGTACAAGTATTCATCAGAGAGGGAGTCCCAACTTCCAAATAGCCCCAAGACAACCCGGTCTAATCGTGAACGTCGGATGCCTTCGTTCCGCAAGTCACCTAGAATGCTAAAGTTATTTATCAAGTGCCACAGAAACGAGCGCAGTTTGTGGCATGGTTTACAGCGCTTAAGCGGTAAACATAGTAAGAACTACAGTTTCTAACTTGGATAGTCTTCGATTTTACTTTACAGTTGTCGACTGAGCGGAAATAAACCGTTCTGGACACTCTGCCATCAGCTTTTGTAGGATGACCACCACTCAGCCAGCCTGGTCTCTGGCCGCCACATC